TTTGCCTACGCGATACGGATAGCTAAGTCCTTATGACTTCTCTCTTATCGCGCCTATTCCTCTAATCTTCTTAAGTCCTCGCCTAGGACTTAATTACGCGGCGTGGGAGGAGAAATAGTTTTCTCTCCCGGGAGGAAAGACAATTCTCAGGTTTCGTAAGATAAATCTTAAAGAGCGTAAAGGCAGGTTTTATTGATAACTTATATGTAGGAAATAAACAAGAAGAACGTGTGAAGAGCTAATACTAGGGGTCCTAGTGACCCTTTATATAGTAGCTCTTCACCTAGCGTGACTCATACTTATGTGTCACGCGATCCTTGTGACTCATACCTATGAGTCATGCGAAATCCCTCAGCTGACTCCTATGAGTCGCTGCGCAACATACCTAATCAATCAAAACATAATAACCAAGTCAGGTGCGCAACTTGCGTCACCTGAGTGAAACCCATGACTCATAATCTGAGTCATGTGCGAAAATCATAACATCGTGTGATTCACAAGTGTGAGTCACGAACAGGTAAACATAATAACCTATGGCGCACTAATGTGCGTCATGTGAAATCCCCACATACCCATAGCTTGGAATTCCTAGCTATGTGAAATCTGCCTTGCTTAGTCACAGTTTGTGACAAATAGGTGCGATACGATAGAAGTCATAAGCACTTCGCTATCAATATCGCGTAGGCACAGACCTGAGAACTATCTCCTCGCTACCAGTTAAGAACCGTTACCTGTTGCACCCCACCCAGGTAGGATTCTTAACACTTCATTAGATTCAATTCAATACCACGGAATAAGGAAGAAATTCAAACAATTGGGCGATATAATCCTTGTTCTATCTTCAATGTTGATCAAATGGCCTTACCTTTTGACTTTTATGGGAAGTGCACCTATGCCCCACGAGGTACCAAATCAGTTAGAAAAAAGGTTGCTACAAAATCGTGGAATAAACGGCAAGCCTCACTGATGATTTTAATTGCCGCCGATGGGCTTCCTCACTGCAAGCCACTTCTGATGTTCCGGGGAGAGGGAAAAGGAGGTAATATTCAAAAAGAATCTTACTTCTAGGATGACCGAGTAACCGTTGTTTTTAATAAAAACGCATATACTGATACAGCTGTTATGTTACGTTGGATCGAACAGTACTATGTTATGGCAGTTTCACCACACCAAAATACCGATCCTGTTAGCCCTGGCCCTCAACCACCACCACGTCTCCTTACTCTTGATACCTGTCCTACCCATTGCACACTGGCTGTTCTCAAGGCTCTTTCTGCCCCACACCTCAATACAACAACCGCTTTTATTCCTGAAGGAATGACAGGTTACTTACAACCTGAGGATACACATATCAATAAACCATTAAAGGAATACATTAGTGACTTCCTCGAAACTTATGTGGATCAAGGCTGGAAAAGCCAGTTTCCAGGCAAGGGAAATGTTAAAGTCCGAGAACGCCGAATACTGATTACAAAATGTGTTGGTGATGCATGGGATAAGTTACATCAAGAGCACGGTGAACTTATTCGAAAATCCTTTCGCGATACCGGCATTTCTCTACAGCCTGATGGGTCAGAGGACCACTTAATCAATCTTCGAGATTTACCTAACTTACAGGTAGATTATGCGGGGCAATACGGACTAAATTGCAACCTGGAGACCGGAAGTAGAGCAAAGCGTCAGACGGGCAGGGGAATTTTGTATGAGGATAACTGGCAAAGGCTATTAAAAATCCTTGATGAGAAAAGCGTATTGGCAGGATTAAATGAGATACAAGCGGAGGGAGAGGATGATGAGATTTTGACTTACAGTTCTTAAATATATGGTCTCCAAAGGTATGTTCTAGTTATCAGTTACTCACTTATAATTGATCTTTTACTATTCTGATACTGATATCTGATATAGCAGATATGTGCGCACGGGACTCAGTGGTTATCGGGTACATGGTTTGGTGGTTATCGCCATATCATATTGGTAGGATATTTGGTTTGACGGATATCTGGAGATATGGGGAAAGGACGACTGGTTTGTTGGATATACTCACGCGGCCAAGTTGAAGCTGGACACTTTATATGGGAATTGTCACTTTAGGTGTCCAGCTTCAACTCGGCCGTGCGAGTAGGAAAATGTGCAACTAGTTTAAGAAACGATCACCCCAAGGACACTTGTGCCATTAGCCGGTTGTTAGGTGCGCCTAACTTCGGGATGCGCCTTATTTCTGGAATTTTACGGTAATTGAATCTCGCGCGCTGCCATGCATACTCGAGATACATCTTCGATACAGCTGAGTGGGGTCTGTGTTACCACACACCATTCGCTGGCCATTTACCGATGCTCTAGTTATGCCAGCCTCGTGCGACTTTCAATCCCACCTTCCCCATTCCCATTGGGGGTCCCCACTGATGCGCCCAGCGCCCTCTCGCACCCAGGGACAAGTTTGTCGGTTTTCATGGGCCTCACGAAATTATGATTGGTACAGTGCTTGTACTACGGTGTGCGGGAGAGACGTGTCTCGTCAATTTTTGCCGTTTTATCCGCCAGTTCCGATATTAGAAGCTTGATCGATTCTAGGGCAGGATTATGCGCTCGTTTAGCCCCGAATATGGGTCATCCTTTGATGGAGAAGCGAGGGCACTACGCCATCTCGTGAGAGAGTGAAGTGTGTTCCGAGGATGAGCCAAGCAACCCTATCCGCCCATTGGCATCCTTTGGTGCTCAAATTTGTAGAGTACGGTACACTCACCAGCTCCAACCGATAGAGCACTCGCACCTGTATTCTAAAATGCACAGGTGCTGTACGATACTCGAGTACTGTACAGTACTTCAGACTTGTGCCGCACTAGTACTCGCGCTCGAGGCATGCAGGATACTTCACCGGAGGTCGTTGCCGACCCACCGTCTTACGTAAATTCAGACTGTTCCGAGGCGTAACAGGGTGTGTACTGATTGGCCATGATCCAAAGCCAATCAACAGCCGGGACACCCTCCCGGGGAGCTAGCTACGAGGCTAGGCTACCGCGCAGTATCATCTACCGTTCTCCAGCCTCCCTCCCGCCCAGGCTGCTAAGACTTCCAAGTTCCGGAGAGCGAACTTTCTTCCTCCTTACCGCCCCGAGACGCTGTCGCCCAAATACCCATTTTCCAGACTACCCTTAGCCAGATCTTCAGCCTTCAATAAAGCCCAAGAGCTCGGCACCAAGCCGGAATCACATCCCGTAGCTACCTCAAGATTAGAGAATTATTCCTCTCCATATTTAAGGTTGGGTCCTTGGGTACAGTGCTCCTTCTAGGGCACCATATGTCGCGCTATTGACTTGTTTCAGCAGAAACGAAAGCATTTCCAACTAGCTTGGTTGGCGAGATACACTCAATAGCCACCTTTCCCATTTCAGATACTCTAACGATATCTGTTCTTTTTCTACCCTACCTTCGAAAACGACCCTACAGTGAACTAAATGCAAGAGTGCCGGACGTATCGGTAGGCTCCCCTCCCTTCAATGTCCATTATTTTAAAAATAATAAGCGCAGGCCTGATATTCTTCCCAGAGGAATCGAAGGCGATATTAGGGGAGACTTCAGCGCGAACTCCGGGGATTATAATGTTCTCGGCAGTAATAACAATAACGTAAACACGGGTTACCAGAACAACTTTACCAATAACGGGCAGGTATATCACCAATATGTGCTTGGAGCGGGGGAAAGAGGTATTATCCGCTTTCCCGGGAGATTCCCGGAAAAGATCTAATGCACTATTACAAGTAGGACACGCATCCGGGCCTTATCGCATAATTCCCTACTGCAGAAACACAAAGTTCACTGGCCGTAAAGATCTCATTGAGTCTCTAACGAAGTTTTCCGAGGGTAACGGGCACAACCGGATCGCACTTCATGGATTAGGCGGTTCTGGGTATGTGTTCATGATCGCCATTTCAGGAGTTTGCTAACCTAGCTCAGAAAAACCCAGATTGCCCTCGAATACCTCTATCGGTGCGGAAGCGAGAGCGATTGTGATATTTACTGGGTGCACGGGAGTGGGCTACCAACATTTAGTGACGAATTTAGAGCTATTGCACAACATGGTCGAATCCCCCTAGCCGGCACCGAGACAGACGAAGAGGGATTCCTATTGAATGTTAAGAGGTGGTTTCAAGGTCCAGACAGTGGCCATTGGATACTAGTTATCGACAACGCCGACAACGAGGAGGACTTTATCGGCAACAGCGGTCGTATCTCCAAATTTGTGCCACAGGGGCCTCGGGGCACCCTAATATTCACCACTCGATCACTCCAGGTTGCATTGCGGCAGGGTTGTGAAAGGATAGAAATCGGAAAAATGGAGGACGATGAAGCACAAGCATTGTTTTTGAAACACTTAGTCCACTATCACATCCCGAGCGATAAAGAGCAACAGGCGATCAATATGATCCTAAATTCCATACATCGCATCCCGCTGGCTATCATAGGAGCGGCAGCCTTCATGACTGAAACCCAGATACCGCCATCCACCTACTGGACTATTTTCCGGGGAAGCGACGAACAGGCGAAGAGACTTCTTTCACGGCCCTTTTGCGACATCCGACGAGAGGCCGATATGACCCAAAGTATCCTAGCTACGTACTTTATCACCTTTGACCTAATCACGAGGCAGATGCCCCTAGCTGCGGATCTTTTGCGTTTAATTGCATCCTTAGATCGCCAGAACATACCCGAAGAGCTGCTCAGCCAAAGTGGTTTGGACGGAATAGACGATCAAATTCAGTTTCTTGAGGCCATCGGAAAACTATTAGGATTTTCGCTTGTCACGAGAGTCGAATGCGAGGACCAGAAACTTTACGAGCTTCATCGATTGGTGCAACTGTCTTTGCAAGTGTATTTACCAACGGAAGAGTTGAGTCGATGGAGGGCCACTGCACTGAAAGTGGTCTCAAGACTGTTCCCTCGGCGTTGGGCCACATGGAGAGATGTTAGTTCTGTCTATATTCCACACGTACTTGTAGTAACAGAAAATTCGACGGATCCCATTGCCGAGGAGCTTTGTTTTCGCCTGGGACTGTACTTTAGGGATATGGGTTCCTACAATAACGCAGAAACTCAATTCCGTCGGTGTATCGCACTTCGGGAAGAGCATAAAGGGTATGCCTGGGATGAGGAGGGCCCAAAGAGAGTTATATGCCTAGGTTCGATAAGCATAGAGCAAGGAAAGGCAAATGTGGCTGAGAACATCTTTCGGAGTTTATTGGACGATATTGAGAAATCACTGAATCCAGATAATCGGATTGTTCTGTGGGTTATCAGCTTCCTGTCTGTGGCGCTGGACCGCCAAGGAAAGCACAATGAATCAGAGGCGCTGTATAGGCGACATCTGGAGGGGCTTAAGAACGTTCTTGGACCAGACCGCCCAGAGGTCCTAAAAACTGTCACCGACCTAGCTACAGTGCTGCAAGCCCAAGAAAAGTACAGTGAATCAGAGACGATGAATCGGCGTGCGCTAGGGGGGTCCGACAAGATTATGAGGGCAGACAGCCGAGACATCCTAGTATGTGTCAACAACCTGGCTAAGGTGCTGCGATCCCAAAGAAGGTACAGTGAAGCAGAGACGATGCACCGACACGCGCTGGAGGGGTGCGAGAAGATTCTTGGTCCAGACCACCCAGACACCTTAACATGCGTTAACAACCTAGCTCTTACGCTGCGCTACCAAAAAATGTACGATGAATCGGAGACGATGAATCGGCGTGTGCTGGAGAGGGAGGAGACGATTCTTGGACCAGATCACCCAAACACCCTAACCAGTGTCAACAACCTGGCTCTGGTGCTGAAAGACCAAGGAAAGTACGACGAATCAGAGAAGATGCATCGGCATGCACTGGAGGGGCGCGAGAAGATTCTTGGACCAGACCACCCTGACACCCTAACCAGTGTCAACAACCTGGCTCTGGTACTGCGGGAGCAAGGAAAGTACGGTGAATCAGAGAAGATGCATCGGCATGCACTGGAGGGGCGCGAGAAGATTCTTGGACCAGACCACCCAAACACCCTAACCAGTGTCAACAACCTGGCTCTGGTGCTGCACGGCCAAGGAAAATACGACAAATCAGAGAAGATGCATCGGCGCGCGCTGGAGGGGCGCGAGAAGATTCTTGGACCAGACCATCCTGACACCCTATCAACTGTCAAAAGCCTGGCTACGGTGGTGCGACTCCAGGGTGGGCATGGCGATACAGGTACGATAAGCCGGCGTCCACGACAGGAACTTTCAGTAAACCTTGACAATATGCAGTCCCAATCCGCTGGCCGTGCCCCCCGTCTTTCCGAGAGGAACACAGTTCTCCGCCATTCACGTAGGATCGCTGCCCGCCGCCAGGTCGGCAGGCCAGCAAAGTGACTCGCCGTCTCGGAGGCTGTTCGGTTGCACCAGCTGTGTAAGTGGTCGGCTGCTATCCCCAACCGGCGGGTCGACGGCAGGAACACACAGGGCAAAAGTGGCAGACCGCGCAGGACCAACTAGAATGACAAACTAGAGGTTGTGAGTGGCAAGTTGTCGGAGTGTAGTACGAAGGAAGTGTTGGGCATTTTTGCTTTTTCCTCCCATTTATTTTTCTTTGTCACTTTTCTCTTTTCGTGATATATCAGTTCGTATGGCTTTTCATCCAATTCCTTGTAATTAATTAATTCTTTTTTACTATTCGGATCATAAGAACTCACTCATTCGTTACCATCTGTCATTCCGCCCTGTATCCTACATGCCAAAACGCATTCCCAGTTACTCACCGCCCTCCCATATCCGCCCTCCTGGCTGGCTGCCGGCTTTTATCCTGGGCCCTTTGCGGCCGTTCCCGTGCTCATACAGGTTACGAATCACAACCCATTCCATTACCGACACCACGGGCCACCCCAACAATCATTAGGAACCTGGCTCTGGCGCTGCCAGTACGATGAACTGGAGAGAGCGGGTTGTTGTCTAGTGTATTGCGAAACACCAGTCCTCGCTTGCCCACCACAATCGCACAGATATGACTTATTCTTTCGTGGTTCAGAAATTACTTTTTTTCCTTCTTTTTTTTTGGGATGGGAAAAGTTTTAGGTCTGTATAGTTGGGAATATGTAGCAGCTCATAATCTTATTCCAAAGAACAAGGAGAGGGGCTAGAAGTGCGGACGTTCGAGGCAGCGGGGTGGAGAAGAGAGGGTATCGGGAAGACGTGGGAGGTAGCGAGGAGAATAGAAGAGAGAGCCAGCCAAGAGGATACAACAGAACGAAGGTGGGGAGGTGATAGCGGGGAGAAGATGGGAAATGTAGGAACCTGGGGACAGTCTTCACAAGCAGCTAGGCCGACCCGCATATAGCCTATAGATATACAGTCCAGCGGGGACGGTCCAAAGTGAGACTGACCTGGGCTTTGTGGGTCCCTGTCAGCGCCAGCAGGCTTTCGCAGTCTGCCATGTAGTTAGTAAATATTTTGACCATGCAGAGCAGATATCGGGAAATACCCACGGATATAATATCTCGGGAGACTTGCTAATATCAACCTTTACCACACGATCTCTGCGGCGATCTCCGGCTGGCACAGGTCCAGAACCCAGAGAAATAAAAAAAAATATTCCTGCGAGTTGAAAGCGTTGAGGGTAGCGCTGGTAAATGGCAAATTGAATATCACTGACTAGGGTCCTAACCCTCCCCCGTGCATTGAAGGTGTGGCGCTGGAAGGGGACGGCTGGGAAACGGAATATTATGACCCCATTTCTCAGTGTGTTTACTCCCGGGGTATTCAGCTGGATTCCAGGCTATGTGGGTATCCCGGGCAATCAAATATCCAACACTAAGGGCCTGTTTGAATACAACCGTTCCGTTCCGTTCCCCTATACAAACGACCGTTACCTTCTGTTTCGAAATGGAAGGAACTGAACTGGTGTTTGGTAACCACGGAATAAATAGACCGTTCCGTTCTAAAATGTGCCAAGTCAACTATTACGAAACGGAAGTGGTCCGTTTCTGCATGGCCAACCGTTTTGAAGGAAAAATGGTCACGAACGGTTCCGTTCCCGCCAAACAGAGCCTAAACTCAAATGGCCGACTTCCCTATAGTCAATGTGATATTACTGGATTACCTATCCTATAATCCTCTTGTTTTGTTCTCAGGAGACCAATTTGGTTAAGAAAATTATGAGATCTTGAAGGTATCCTCCTTTATTCGGGAATATACTATTGCTAGAGTTTTAGTCCCTGGTCTCAAACTGAAACCTTTAGACGGTATTTTTACTACTCTTGCGGACAGAAAGAATAGGTAGGATATGTGATCGGGGAACATGGTTATCGGGCATTTGTCCATGAGGTCTGCTTGTTGCTCTGGGTACAAGTAGAGAATTAGCACCCAGCTTGGCCGAACGACATCTCATGTCGATGTAGCAATAGGCGAAATACCAGCAGGACATTGTGGGTATATTTGACTTTTTTTGGCATTTTCTTTTCTCGTAATATCCTTTTCAAGCTTTCAAATGATCTCCAATTAATGGTTTGATGGCTCTGGGTTTCAAAGAACATTGTGATTACTGGACAACCGTGGGCGTCTAACTTTGGTAGGTAGATCATTTGGGTGCTTCGAGGGATGGGGAGCCAATCTGCGATATATCTCAATGCAGTACTGGTGGTGGAACTTGCGATGCAAAGCCTCAGTTTGCTGACCTTATGATTGGCACTATTATAAGCTGGCTACTTTCCCATTACCTTGGTGGTGTTTAACCTCTTTACTATACTATTGTAGGACAATATGCTCGGACAATAAAACTTTTGCATTATTCCTGCTAGCTCCAGGGAGGGTGATGTCTAAAGCACGGCCTACATATTCTTCGGTGGTCATGGGCGTGGGTATCTTACGTAGCTGATAGTAGTTATGGTCTGGAGTTTGAGCACTTGCTAAGTTGAACAAGGATTCGGTGTTGACCCGTGTCTTAGACACTTGCGGGAGAGGCACAAAACCTTTCACCCACATGCGCTTACATCAAATTTGGTATTATATCTGTGAGCGGGACAGTACTATTTGCATATCTAGCTTAAGACAGCATTGCTGACCACCCTAGGAGTACATCCATTATGCACACCAAGCATACCACTATCCAATAAACAAAGAGCATTAACCTAGACTTCTCTGGACCCGTCATTTCTTCTTATTCTTATCAGAAAGCGACCCTTCCTGATGCTTAGCTTTTAGCTCCGCCTTGACCTGGGCATTTTCAACTATTGTCTTCAACCTTGCCTCATGGTCATACAGCATTCTCAATAGCCTTTCCTCGGAATAGCGGTCATAGAATAAGAGTAACCCCATAAACTAGCCCATTTGTTAGCCTAAAGTCACGTAATAAAAATCCACTGATAACATACCCCGACAGTGATTGTTGCCACGATAAATCTTAACCATCCATTGATAATACTGAATTTATTGTTCATCTGTGCAAGTCCGTTCTCCAGCCTCCTGTCTGAATCCCGCATAACCCTCTCCCACTTCACCTCCAATTTCTCGAATCTCTTCTCCAATTTCTCCTCCCACTTCTGCTCCCACCTCTCGAAACTCTTTTCCCCAAGTTCTTGTAGACTCATCCTTCAATGGGGTCTTCGATTCCCTTTCCAACCCTACAAATCGAGTCTCCAGATCTTCTCCTCCGGAAGTGCTTCCATTGGTTGTATATGACTATTCAACTATGGTGTCAGTATTTGTCTATAGATACACGAAGAAAGTTGGCACGCAGGCCTACCTCAGTACGAATAGGTTGAACAACACCAAGACGGGAGAGGTGCAGAGAATGGTGAATAGGTTGGGCAAGACCAAGGCGGGGGAGTTGTAGAGGATGATGAGTAGGTCTCAAGTAAAGGTTGCGGGGGTAACGAGGAAGCGCTGAGCGGAATACACGGCTGACCTGATAGACTGACATGCTGACAAACTGCGGTAGAAAGTTTTTCGAAGTTTTGTTGTCAGGTGTGGCTTTTGGTGGATGGTGGTTGGGTAGTGGAGGGTAGGTTGTACCATTAAATACAGTGTTTGCGGAAAGGTCGGCCAAAAAAATCCTCATGCTAGCCCTAATTGGTAGCACATTTAGGACATTGGCTATTGAAGCCCTCTTATGAAACTTGACTATCGTAAGGGATAAGGGCACAAGCCACTCAAACCAACCTTTCCAACTACTAAGGACCTGTTTGGATACGACCATTCCGTTCCGTTCCCCTATACAAACAACCTTTACCTTCTATTTCGAAATGGAAGGAAATGAACTGGTGTTTGGTAACTATGGAATAAATAGACCGTTCCTTTCTGAAATGTGCCGAGTCAACCGCTACGAAACGGAAGTAGTCCGTTTCTACATGGACAACCATTTTGAAACGGAACGGTCAGGAACAGCTCCGCCCCTGCCAAACAGAGCCTTAAGAGAAGAGGTGGACTTACCCTCGCCCCAACCCTATTAAATGGCAGGAGTTTTGTTTTTAGAGCTACACATGTTATATAGGGCTGGGAATTGAGAAAATTGGAATGGGAGGACGGGAATAGCCATGATGTGCATGGTAAATATAACCGTGACCCAACAAGACTCCAGCTTAAAACCGCGGAGCTTCCACCAACCTCCGGTGAATCGTCGGTGACGTTGGGCAATAAGGTTAGAGTCCTCTTAGGGTGTTTTCCGTACCGTGATGTGATTTTGAAATCAGGTCTTGGCAATTTGAACTCAAATTTATAACAAGTAAAACAAGGTAGGGTTAGGTATATATCCGAGTCGCAAATACAAGCAAAGGGATTATCCGCCCGGGGTGTGCCTCCTCAATGAGTCCCCACCGAATCAGATTAATCTGAGAAGGGGACCCAATATGTGAGCAGGAATAGAGACAAAAACTTGGTATTTACGAAGTTAGAATAAAGAAAAAAATAGTGGGTATTTCCCAGGGCAACCAGGAAAAGCCTAGAGTTTGGAGCAAAAATCTGGATCACGGGCCATTCCCATATTAGAAGAAAAAAGGTGTTCGGATTTGGAGATTATGATCACTACCGGAAAAACGAAATTACACAATGTCATATAAAATATAATTATGACAATGAGGAAATCGCTTTTCATAGGATGGCATGCCACAGTAGCTCGTCGGCCCTATATTTCGCGGATTCAGGATTAAAAATAGCTAAGGTATGGAGGGTTAGGGCCCGGGGGCAGGGCAGGTTGGTTATTGTGCCATTTGCTCGTACCGATACCATATCATATCCTAGCCGTGCCCACCTCATGCGATCTTCGGTACCCCCTGCCACTTGCCGACAACCTAGTTGCTGAGTTGCGGCCCTGGGAAAAGCATACCGAAGCAGGGGTGATGGATCGGCGCAGACTAGAGGGGACAGAAAGGATTCTTGAACCAGACCGCCCCAGCATCTGAACAAGCGCCAATGGCCTCGCTATGGTGCCGCGACACAAACGAGAGGGCGATGTTTCAGGGGGGGGGGGGGGGCGATGATCCAGCATGAACAGAAACCCCTTCTTAGAAGCCAAGAGAATCCGGGGTCTCGATTTGCTCGCCGTGTTGTCCGTTATTTGCGGAGGACTTATCTTCCCCAAGGGCGATAGGCCAACATCTCGGCTCAGGGTGCTGTAGGAAGTTTAGTTGGACCGGAGGTGACGGGAGCGCCCTGTTAGTTTCAACTGGTGCGGGAGACTCTAAGGATAGGGATCTACGGGGGAACGACGGCGCAGGACCAGAAAGAATAGCGAACCCGATCCCCTGACTGGCGGGCTGCTGGAGTATAGTACGGAGGAAGTATTGGTCATTTCTACTTTCCCGCATTTTATCTTCCCTGGTTTCCTTCCTTTTTTCGTGATATATTAGTTTACCTCTAACAGAAAAGCATGCCGTACGCCTTCTCACCCGACAAGCTCCTTGTAGTTCTCTGCTCTTTTAATTCTCAAAGAGTCACTAGCTTGATATTATTAGGCTGGTTGCGAGTGCCAAAACACAATCCAAGTGGCCTACAAGGCTCCCATCCCGCCCGGCTGGCAGCGTTCCGACCGCTTTTCTCGCCCGCTGTACGGTTGCCTGGGGTTAGGGTTCGTTTGAGAGTTGGAAGATGCAGGATTTATTTACTTGTGGATATGGAGGTGCTGGATACCTCGTTAAAAATATATGGAATAAAGCTGGAATTAAGAGGCAGTAAGGAGAAGAAAAGGAGAACCGGGAAGACAAGAGAAGTATCGAGGGGGATAGAAGAGCGAAGTAAAGGGAGGCAGAAGGAGCAGCGACATATGAGAAATTGGGATGTCATTCCCCGGAACAAGAGGCTCCTGTGTCCAAAGTCCGCGAACGGTGGGAAATGAAAAAAACAGAGGAGCGGTGTTGGGAGTCTCTTTCTCAGATCCTATCATGACATAGCCCATTAACCGATAAAAACCCGGCTATATTATTGAGTTGGCCTCGCTTAGCCTTCTCACGGTCGGCAACCCCTTAACCACCATCGTCAGACGGCCGGGACTACAGTTGCAGTAGGGGAGAACAGCCAACAGGCTATGGTCGATCTCCCCATTCTCTTGTTTCCCTAAGAGGCTGCGTAGTCAGACACGAACGCGATACCGATAGACGTTGTTTAAGGTCTTTGGGTCTACCCCTCTGCTCTCCTCTCCCTACAGTCGGATGGGCTGGCACCCTACTGCTAAACCTTCCCCTCTCCCCGGTTAGCGCCCACGGCCGGCTGGTCTCCTCCTTCCCTCCATGGTATTGCACTGTCTCCTTGGAGGGGTCTGGGGGGGGCCCCCTATCTTAGCGCGCTTCGGGCGTCGCTTCCCGCTCGGATCAGTGGACTCGCCCTTCGGGGCCCTACGTGGCTTGCTACTAACCTTTCTTTTGTTCTTTGGGATTTCTCAGCGGGTTTTCCTGGCCCTTCCTGCTTTCTTCTTAGTTAGGATTTCCTGGTTCGTCCATCTAGCCCGGCTTGGGTTTCTTTTCTTTGAGGCGAGATGTGCGGTTGGCTCCATACCAGAGGCGCTTGGGGGGTTGGCTTTTTCCTGTGGCGAGAGGAGGAATATGGGTTTTTTGTCGTCATAGCTAGCGCTCCATACGTTTTTTGTACCCTAAACAAATAATCAATGAGTCAAACAAAAAAAACAAAACAAATCCCTAGCTTTAAGTCCATCCTCCGTCTCCGCTACACCTGCGGCGATTGAAAACTCAACACCATGGTTTCTATCGTGGCTTTCATCATCTAGCACCACCACTCCCCCCACATCGCCCTCCATCTCGCCTCGGCTACAGGAGGTAGGTGTTAGGGGGTAGGTAACTCTAAAGTCAAGCGAGTATACACTAGGCCCTGTAATCTTCTGTCTCGGAGATAGTCAAGAAGGCTCGTAAAGATAGAAGTAAAGTAGAACGAATATATTGATAAGATCTCTTCTCCAGTTGCTGATGATAGACTAAAAAGCTCGGGAGGCACCTCGATATTTATAATGCGCGTCTGGGTGGTCGCGCCCTACATCTAATCCCTTACTGACTATGTACCTGCCATACTAACGATTCAGTGTTCTTGGAGTGCAAACCCCATTTGACCCTGAATACTAACTTCCCCGCTCTCTTCCTAAGTGGAGTGATCAGCTCCGTTCAAAGGACTTATCAATAACTCTTCTATGTGCATAGCTTAGAGTGCATGACGAAGATAACTAACTCGACTAATGAGTTGTTATTATCCAATCGTAAACTAGTCTCCGGATGACTCTAGTTATACGCGAGCAGAGGATGGTGCAGCTACTTCTCGGAATAGCGCACCAAGACTTCCAGAGGTCATAGCTCAATAACTAACCGACCAATCTGGTTCAAATAAGTCTTATCTTATAGAGCGGAGCTTCTTCCATGTTATCCAGCGAAAACCCCTCGGTCGCATGCCTCGTATCTCCGCGGAGCGGGCTGCATAGATGCCTTATCGTTCCATGCGATAATATGATATCGTCACGATAACTACGGCGGGGCCCGGAGTCGAACACGTGACCTTATGCATTTAGTCACGTGTCGTACCGATTACGCTGTCTGAGTCTAACATTAGCTCCCTCCTTTTCAAGGCTCGTCCTCGAGTCCTTGTTCTATATCTTAGTTCTATCTATGGTACAAAGTAAGGTCTAAAATATTTCCAGTTAGGACTCTGTCCAGGTAGGGTAAAAAACCTTTGCGCGTTTACTTGTCCACGCCTAGGAAAACCTTTCCTGACCATCCTACCTCAGCCGTGGCATCTCCGGGTTATCTCTGTGGAATTCTTCCACTAAGTCGGTAGCATGTTCAAGATGCTCCGGCGGTTCCCAGGTGTTTTCATCTTCCGAACAACCTTTCCATTTAACAAAATATTTGAGTTCTTGAATACGCTTAGTGCGTCCGGACACTCTTTTCATGTAGGAGAGAATCTCGCTTTTGACGATTTTCTCTGCTTCCCATTCTAGATCGCCATCGATCTCTTCTGGTGCCTGTGGTCTCTGCTCCCTTTCTGGTCGAACCGATGTTCGATAGGGTTCGAGTAACGACACATGAAATACGGGGTGGATTTTCCACCTTTCAGAAATTTCCAACTTGAAAGCTTGGTCGCCTCTTTTTTCGAGTATTCGGAAAGGTCCATAAAGCTTAGGGCTTACCTTTTTTGAAGGTCTTTTTGTCCGAATGTTTTTTGCGTTGAGCATTACTTGATCCCCAACCTTGAAATCCGGTTGTTGTTTGACCTTCGGCTCGTAGTACTTGCTCATGGCTTCTCGCGTAAGTCGTAGGGTTTCTCGGGCTTGTTGGTGTATTTCCTTCATCCAGTGAGCGTAAGTTGTGGCTCCTGGGTTCCGTACTTCTCTTTCTTTCATCCACTCCGTTTGTGGATGATAACCATAGTTTGCATAGAATGGAGTTAAACCGTGCGCTTGGGTAACTGAGTTGT